AAAGCAGTGGAACTTCGTAATTATGTTGTGCTTGTACTCTGAACATTTGAGGTGGTTAGCACGCTATAACTAGTGATTTCTCTCTTTGAGAAACTTTGTATTACTGTTTACGATTAAAACCAAAAGAACGTTTCTGGTTTTTATGAGCTTATTATTCCACTAAAGACAAGGAATATCAAATCTTCACTTCGGGCACAATCCTGGAACACAGATCGCAACAATCACTTTACACACTTGCCGGCAGCATTCGATTAGGCTGAAGAGGGGCATATCACTGGATGAGTGGTGCAGTGGTTTAATCGCTGTCACAGGTGTGCTTTGGACCTTGTGGTCCGAGGATCGAGCCCCATTACCGACACCCAACTTTGGTGGTAGGCAGTTGCGCTGTCGTTCTGTTCAATACATCTAACCTCATTTGATTCATCTACCCAAGTTCCGGGGATTAGGTTACTGGTTTCCACCATTGCGCAGCAGGCCCCCGTGACTGTGGGGCTTTCCCCGTCAGCTGTTCACCACACGTGTAATAGAAAACGACTGAGTTTATTATCACCCTTTACTCGCCATACAGAGAACGAAATATTTATTCCAACCGTCAACACCCGAAAGGCGTTTCTATCATCAAAGCACGTGCTATGAAGCAGGACAGACTTCAGATTAAATTTCGGACCCGTAGCTGATCTCTATACGCCTACCACCAATTTGGAAAATGGACCATAAATGCTGGCGATACACTCTTCAATGTCAATTACAAAACGCACCCAGGTACTTCTTTAAGACCCCGGTGGATTGATGGAGTACTGCGTCAGAAGACGACCTAGTGAAAGCCTCTGCGATTGTGACCCGGTAACACGGAGTACCACAGGCAGAATTTCTGCAGTATAATAGTCCCGATGGAGTTGACTGACTGCAGTCACTGCTGTTCCTATTGCAGTGTGAACGTAAGTTCAACACGCATATGAACTAGAAACATGCAAACAGTAAGTGTGTGAAAGAGCTTTATTGGTACAAACATTTGGTTATCACTAATACGGATCAAGTTCGTCCCGAAGTCCCCAACTAGACTCACCAAACCCCGTTCGCGCCAGTACTATTATTGAAGTTTATATCATTCAGTTCAAGCGGAGGAGACTAGGGGTACGAGCTTAAGCTCGTATTCCTAATTAGCCAACATCCGAAATGACAAACAGGGACTTGAATGCATAAGTGAGAAATCGTGGACAACAAAATGAGACCATCATTGCAGTCTGGACTCACGAGTGTAAGATAATGACTCGTTTCGATGTAGTATTCAGGGACAGAGGTGGACACCAAACTCTGCAACTACATTCAATAGACTACATGATCTGATTAATCAAGGCAAGCAAATACAAGCGCCTGCACTTTCTTGGACCGGCAAATGTGAAACAAACGCTTTACGTAGGTGATTTTCTCAACTGGAGATGATAAATGATCCAATAAAAGTTATCGGCTCTTAGCCTCGCAAATGCTACGAACAGTCTCAGTAATCAAATGCAGGTACTGACTTACTTTCCCCATTCGCATCTTTTCATTATTTCTCGCCTACAACTAATATGCACCCTTAATTGTGGTATTTTGAGATAACAGTTATTCAAAGAAGCAACTTGTTGTATATAAGCGCGAATTTCAGTCCTTGTAAGCGCTCTGCTTTACCTGAGGTTCGGACGACAAACTACGATTGCAACACTTACCTGATACTTCAGATCGGAGTAGAACAACGATACTTTTTCTCCAGGTTTGAGATTCGCCCCATTCAAGTGGCCAAAACAAACAATATCTCCGTGTTTGAGCGTGACCCCTCCGATGACGCGGGTGTAATTCACATAAGTTCCGTTCATACTATGATCATACAGCATAGAGCCACCCTTTGCAGAACGCTCAATAGTGGCATGATTCCGAGAGATCATTCGGCTGTTTATGCAACTCTCAATTGGGTAATCAGGTGGCATTTTCGTGTTAATTCGCCCAATACGAATCTCCTTTTGTCCAGGTTTTAACTCAATTTTCTTGGGGCGATATTGATCACTGGATGAGCTAACACACCCAGCTTGCTCCCTTTTGTCCTGATCGAGATCCCCGATCCATCGCAACGTTACCGTGCTCATAGTCACAACAAAGAACCACGAAACAGTTAACCAGGACGACAAGCGAATAGAAACCGGGTAAAATCAAAATGCCTGTGGCGCGACAGATTCATTCAAACAAACATTAATAGGAGAAATACAGTCCAGCTTTTGTAGGATAGATTGGATTTCATTGAAATCTCATTTTTAGATTTCCATGGTTTCAACCATTCTTTTCGCATACGGGGCCTGGACATGAAAGGTCGCAGGACTTGCTGCGGCGCGAGAAGCAGTTCATGTTCTTGCACCAATGAGTTTAAGAGCACCAAGCCACTGCGACAGTTGTGTCATTTCGTTCACACAAACGTGAGTGAGTGTGGTTCTAAAAAAAGGAAAACGCACTTCTGATGGTTCCTCAGAATGATAGTACAATCGATATAATGCAAAGCCTAAATGCGCACAAGGCCGCAGGGCCCGACGAAATTCATCCCACCGGCCTTGGGCCCATTGCTGCGAACTTGGCGGAACCCCTCGCGGAGCTGTTCAGTTAGTCACTTCGGACTGCGCAGCTGCCCAGCGATTGGATGATGGCAATAGTGGTCCTCATTTACAAATGGGGTAATAAACAACAGCCGGTAAATCATCATCCCGTGAGCCTAATGTCGGTCGTACTAAAGGTACTAGAAAGGGTAATCGAGAATAAACTGGCCGAACACCTTGCATGAAATCAGTTATTAACCGATAAGCAGTACGGCTTCGGTAAAGATAAATCGTGCTTGACCAACACGCTTTCGTACCTGGATAAAGTCACGAGACGACTTGACTTGACGACTTGACTGGTGGTACGTTCGAATTCGGGTGCGGGGTATTTGCTCTCTTTGAATTTCCATTGAATTACGTTAAAAGCATGGAAAGCGAACTATACAGTCCGTTTTACTGATTTACCTTTAAACACAAGCTTGGTAGCAAAATATCTTTTTTGAAATGCTTTTGAAAACTAGGTTGCTGTTCTTCAGTAATTAATGACGCTCACTTTACGTTTTGTGTCATACAGTAAATTTGGTGTCCTATATTTATCAGTTTACTTACATTGCACATCTTTTTCGAAATATGCCAGGTGCCAACTTTCCGTGTCTGAATGGAGCGTGCGGTAAAAAGGTGGCAAGGGGTAGTATGTGCGGCGTACGTGAAGAGTGGGCTCACCAAAAGTGCACAGGGGTATCATCGGAGATCTACGCTTTGCCAAGTAAACACAGCGAACTAGAATGGGTGTGCAACGGTTGCAGGACGATTGCGCGCCACCATAAAGCCCAAGGTGCTGTCTCCGAAAGGTCACCCAGACTGACCGAGACAAAACAAGTGGAAAGTAAGGGAGTAATGCCCGAAGAAGTGTCACCCAAAGCTTATGCCGAGGTAGTGAGAAAAACACCTAGCAAACCTGCTGCACTAACTCGTCAAATGAAACCAAATTCTAAGATTGTCA